GGGCGCTCCCGGTAGCATTCTCATCGCGTCGTGATTTTCGAAGCCTTCAAAACGAAGAAAATCTTTGATTTCAACATTCTTTTAATATTGCATCCGCCATCTGCAGGAACAAGGCGATACTATATTTCAGTCCGATCGTTAGATGGCACCTCTTCTTACTTCAGCATTCCCCCTCCCTCATTTCCGGTTTGGGATTTTGGCCCTTTGGGATTTTGTCACCCATCCGCGGGAACCTGGGATATGTAACAACTAGCGCCGCCGCGGCCGCCAGCGGCCGCGACGTTGATGCCCATTTATTATGCCTTTGCTTTTTTTGTTTCTTTCGAAAATTAATGATTTATCGTCGTTTTAGTCTATTGAGTGTTAAAGTTAATGAAAACAATGCGTCTCGGTTCATTGCTTGTTCAATTTAAATATTATAATAAGTGATCCACTAATTCTGAGTTTCCGTCCTCATTGAATGAAATTTTAATTACTATTGTAATCAAAATTATATTCAGAGTGCAAAACAACAATTATCAAATTTCTCACAGGCCATAATTTTTTTGTCTTCGCCTCCCTCTTCATTTCCGTTTGCAACTTAACAAAAGTATTCAATTATTTTTCTAGAAAAATTATGGGGTTAATTCTGATCTTCTTTCGCTAATTCGAAGTGTTTTCGCTTCATTCATGATTTTTTCACAATTTTATTTGACGATGTCATAAACTTCAAACTTTCATCATCTAATCATCTAAAAAATTTTCAAATTTTCTATAATCTTTCGAAATTTATATTAATTTTTTTCAAGAAACTTGAAAATTTTTGTGGAATTGTGGAGAAAATCTGAAGAATTACCAAATTATTTCCTCCTTTCGCATTTCAATGAATCAGAGTGCAGTATTCGGGCTTTCATGACTGCTTCAAATCAGTTTTATTTGCAAAATGCCGCCCTTTCCTATCAATTGTTTTCCCATTATTTATTCAACAATCCTCGAATATTTGAGAGATATTGTAAATGTTTTGTAATTTTCAAAAACTCCATAGATTGTCTCTAAGTTCTTCAGAAAACCTCATAATTGTCTTGAATTTTTGGAAAACTCCCGAATTATCTTACATTTGGGAAAAAAATTGACAGTTCTGATTTTTTTGGAAACCTGCAACCTTCCTCGAAGTTTCTATAATTCATTCCCTATTCACCCCCTTAGAGATGGATTTTGTAACGAAGCTGAAACACGTATTTATCAATTTCTAACAATCTCTTGATGAGTGCTCACATAAAAGATAAAACCGACTCTGAAATTTTCATATTATCAGTTTCAATAGTTTCGACTTTTGATTACTATCTTAGTCAAGCTGAAGGGCTCTCTTACCATATTTATAACACAATTCCCGTCGGACTCAGAATTCCTTTCTTCCATTCATTGTTCATAATCATTGTCATTGCAAAAAGCAGTGCGACTGATGAAAATGATGTGCCTCAATTTATTAACTATGAAATATTTATATTGCAATGAATAATCTGCGCATATGCTAATTCCTCTGCTCACTGAATAAGATTTCCATCATAATTACAATCCAATTTCTACTCGAACATAATTCGAAGAGTAAATTGCCGAAATTCAATGTTTGGTGATACTCTGGTAAAAGTGCTTGCCAACACCGTGATACAATTTTTCAATCAGTTCACTTGGTAATTCAATTAATCTATTGTTCATATCATCAACATAATTCCCCATTTAGAATATTGTCACCTCATGTTTTCAGCACCAAATTTTGGAAATTAAAACGTAAAATGACAATTTGACTTCTGCTCGATTCTTTTTTGTGAATCTGAAATTCATGTTAATGTGTCAGATATTATGAAAATATCATCATTCCTGTTCTCTACTGTTATGGAATATTGAGCCACAGCTGTTCATTCATAACTGAATTTCTTTTATTCCTATATTATTATTATTCTTTGTTCAACGTGAAAAAATCTATCATCATTTGCACTGTAGTGCATTCAGATTCTTCTGCACTTCATGTAAAAAATATCATAATAAACTCATAATTCTAGTTATTGATTCTAATCAACTTTGGAGAAAACCTTAGTAAGCGCAACATTAAGAAAGTTGAATCATTCTATTGCCCCCGACCTAAATGATTAGAACAATTATAGTTGGTTTATCAATCGAAAATACAGAGTAAGAAATTGGGTGCAGAATATTCACGTTTTCAATGAAAATTCAAGCAACTTTTTATTTTCATACTGTTAAGAAATGTTGAATTCCATTAAATTTTCAGTCAATTTTTAAATTTCATGACTTTCCTCTCTCAATTTAACTTAAATGTCTTGCTCCTAAAAATTACCACTGAACTATCCATGAATTTCAATTTTTTTCAACAGTATAATTGCTAGGAAAAAATGAAGTCGACTTTCTGAAATACACTAATGAAATGATTGGAAAATCACAATTTTCGAAGACCACAATCATTTTTTATATAAATAATCCAATAGCAATCAATGTTTCACTCAAAGAATAATTTTTTTCGTGTAACGGGACCTGAAAAACCCCATCCTCGCCTTCGACTCGGAAGGCAATCGTGCACGTGGAGGACGGTGATCTGTTTTCCAAGGCTCGGGCATGTAATGTACTATTCCTGAATTATAACGAATTCTTCCGTTTTCAGAATTTCACCAAAAATTAGGTCCATGGCAAAAAAATCAATATTATTTTATTTTGTCATATAAGTATTGATTTCATTAAACAAACCATCGAATAACCAAAATCGAATGAAAAATTTAAAATTGAATATTTTTAGATTTTCTATTTTTTTTTTCAATTCATTCTCGACATTCAAGTTCATTAATCATCTATAATTTAATCTTGTCAGCTCGTAACTTTTATCACCAAAAAATCATTTCCCATTCCACTAATTATAAACAAATGCGTGTATTATAGAAAATATGCACTGATGTATTTAATGTATACACGGTGTTCGTTTCTTATTCGAGGTTAGAAATCCGATTTGTAATTCTAGCGTACTTTCGTAAATAGCACTGTCGCGGCCGAATTGCTCATTCTCATGAAAGTTCTCATGAGAATGCGTCTTTCACCCGCCGCAATGACTCTGAAGATAACAACATGTGGCAATTTATTCGATACGACACTCTATTTCTGTTTCATAAGTTCATGATCGAACACGTCCGTTCGACTTCGACTTTCGGTGAATCGATTCGACATTCTTCAATTCGAGTTTTCATTCGGCAGCCATTATGCTTTCCTTTATATATAAGGATAATAATAATAATAGTAATACGTAAACAATGTTGAATAGTCCCTATAAAACTTTCTACAAATTTTCTCCCACTGAAGAAAATTTGTAACCCCCAACAACAATATAAGTAAATAATGGAAGAACAAGATTTTGCATTTCCCTTCCCCCCTTATAACATCCAGAAAGATTTCATGAAATCTTTGTATAAATGCCTGGATGAAGGTAATTTGGGGATATTCGAGAGCCCAACGGGGACTGGAAAAACAATGTCAATTATTTGTGGAGCTTTGAAGTGGTTGCATGATTATGAGAAGAAAAATGAAACGGATGTAAAAAACAGAATCAAAGAATTAGATGAACAATTGAAAGCCATTGAGAGGGAATCCACTGGGGATTGGATTGACGATCACTCTAAACAGATGATTGTTAATCAGGAAAGAAGAATTATTCAAGACAAGTTGGAGGCCATTGAAAGTCGAGTGAAGAGAAAAGAATCTATGAAAAAATTAGTAGCCAGAAAACTCGAATTTAAGAGTAAGAGGAAGGTATTTCCTTCGAAGAAGAAAAATTTTAATGGGAGCACTAGTGAGAAAATTTTGGAGGGAGATGAAAACAACGAAACAGGTGGTGAGGGCGATCATGATTTATTGTTGGAAGATCTTGTGGTAAAATCTGATGAATCTGATGGGGATGAGGAGTGTGATAATAAGATGAGGTACATCCAATTTTTCCTGTGCTCAAGGACTCACTCCCAATTGAGCCAGTTTATTGGAGAGTTCAAGAAGAGCCCTTACGCTGAGGGAGTCTCCTTAGTACCAATAGGCTCAAGGTATTTTTCCTTGGTAATTAGAAAATCATCTCGTAAATGAAAAATTTTCACGAGAAATGCCAATAGACGTTTGTTTTTAACAGTTGAGAATTTTCTCGGAAGAAGATCTCTCAATTTTTGTAGTGAACAACTCATTGAGATAAGCAATTGGAGTGTCACCTGGTGCCACTTTGCAATCGAGCTCAGTTCTATTACTTTTCCATTTCGGAATGATGAAATCTTGACTCGGTAGACATTTGTTACTTTTTCAAAGTTGATTAAATTTTTTTCGTTGATCACGCAATCATTTTGAAAATGAGTCATTTTAAGAAAAAATCATAGGGAAAAATAAACTTGCACATCTCACAAAATTTTCTACCGAAAAATATATTTCAATGTTTTCCTTCAAAACCATCCATAATTGAGGTAATTAAGTGATTTGGTCCCGAGAAACAAAACATTTCTTCTTTCGCAATTCGATGTTTCAGGTTAAAGTTTTCCTCATCAACTAAATTGAGAAAATATCTCCGACGTATGAATTTTCATGGTCATCGGTTAAATGTGTTCACTAATTATCACTGCTTTGTCATGAAAAATGTGGCAAGAAATACCCCTTTAAATGCGTATCAATCAACCAAAATTTTGATCCATATTAACAAAAAAAGTATTTTTAATGCTCCTGCTTGCAGCATCAAAAATTTTCTGCTCCGTGAATTATGTCTACTTCTTTTTCTCGTTCCAATTGTTTTCCAATTGATTTTGCAATTTCAGACAGAACTATTGCGTCAACGAAGCTGTAAAAAAACTAGGCAATATTGATTTAATAAATGAAAAATGTCTGGAGCTTCAAAGATCGAAGAAGACGACGTCTAAAAAAGAAAAAGACCTCAAAAGATCCAAAACAACAAACAGTTGCTGTCCTTATAATCCTGGAGATCAGAATTTATTGATTGCTGAAATTATTACAACGATTCACGATATCGAGGAAATTGTTGAAACTGCAAAGGAAATCGATACCTGTGCTTATTATGCATGCAGAAAATCTCTTCAGAATGGACAAGTGATAGTTCTTCCTTACAACAGTATTCTACATAAAAATACGAGGCTAAGCTCAGGGATTAATTTGAAGGATAATGTGATAATTATTGATGAGGCCCACAATCTACTGGAGGCCATTGAGAGGATGCACTGTACTAGCATCACTGGGAGGAATATTTTGCATTGTTTTAGTCAATTATCGCAGTATCAGAAAAAGTATGATAATTAATTCATAAATAGAAATTTTATAATCATGAAAAGAGAAAGCATCTTTTATTTTTTGAGTGCTAATTAAGTACTGACGTGAAAATACGTAATAAGTGAAATTTAACATTCTTGGTGATTGGGAAAATAACTTGGGATGAAAAGATTTTAGTAATGAACATTAAACAGCATTTCGTAGATCATATGATTAAGATAATTATCAACAAGATAAGAAGTAAATGGACTTGTAATTGTCTACCACTTAATTACAGAATTCGTGTGATAATTAATGTGCGGATGTGATTTATTAACTTGAATCAATTTATCGTTGATTAAAAAAAGATAGTTTTTATTCTTTTAAAGTACATTGTCATCATCCAATAACTAATCTCTCTTATTTTTATGTTTTAGATTCGAAAATCTTTTTTCAGCAAAAAACGTTTTATACCTGAATCAACTAAGCTTCTGTTTGAAAAAACTCATAAAAATGCTGGGAGGCACCACAAGATGTTTAGAAACAGATACAATGGAAAAAGATCAAGCACCGAAGGTTTACACTCTCCAGAACTTCGAAACAACGGCGGAAATCGACAGTGTTAATATGTTCGAACTGATTAAATTCATACAGACCTCAAAATTGGTTCACAAACTGCAAAGCTATTTAGACAAACACAGCGAGGATTTACGAATTCATCCAATTCCAGCATCATCTAGGAACAAACGAGAAGGTGTGGCGGCGTTTCTTACTTTGTTGAAAAATGGAGAAAGTTTGGGTGAAATCTGTGAAAAGACATCGAAAGTAAACGATAATGCAACTGACGAGAATATTTTGAAGAGTCCTTTAATAAAAATTGTTGGATTTCTGGAATCTCTGAAGAGTGCTTGTGCTGATGGAAGAATTTTTGTTATTCCGGGGCGCACTCTCGGACAGGGTGTTATTAAATTTTTGTTGATGAATCCTGCAGCTCATTTTCATGATATTGGTGAGTTTTTAAAAATTTTATAAACAGGACCACAATAGAATATTCTTCGTACTTATTTGTGAAAAAACTCCTTCAAACATAAGTCTCTTCAAATTCAAAAGAGGAGAACCAATCAGTTTTTGATGAATATTTTTAGTAAGCAAGAATGGTCCATTACTAAAATTGATCTATTGTGATTTTCCAGTCAAAGAAGCCCGTTCAATAATCTTGGCAGGAGGAACAATGGAGCCAATCTCCGAATTTCGTGACCAACTCTTTATAAAAGCTGGTGCTCCACTAGAAAGAATAATGACATTTTCCTGCGATCACGTGGTGCCCAAAGAGAATATTCTAACGAGAATCCTTACAAAGGGTCCTAACAACATCCCCTTCGAATTCAATTACCAAAATCGTGACAACCAATCATTATTAAACGAGGTTGGAAGGACTCTGATAAATCTAACAAACATTGTTCCGGGAGGAATTGTGGTATTTCTCCCCTCTTACAAGTATGAGGAGACTCTCTATAAGCATTTGGACTCTATGGGGATAATAAAAAAAATCACCCAGAAGAAGCAAGTATTCAGAGAGCCAAAATCCTCCTCGGTAGTTACTTCAATACTAGACAATTTTGCCGAGTCAATTAAACGTCCCAAAGGCTCCCAAAACGGTTCTCTACTCTTCAGCGTCGTCGGAGGAAAACTCAGTGAGGGTCTAAACTTCTCAGACGACCTTGGTCGATGTATTATTGTCGTGGGAATGCCCTATCCAAATATAAAATCTCCTGAGCTACAGGAGAAGATGAAATACCTCAACGAGAATATCAGAGCCGGGGCTGGCAGTGAGTACTACGAAAATAGTTGTATGAAGGCAGTGAATCAATGTATCGGACGAGCTGTCAGGCACATAAATGATTACGCCACTGTCATTCTAATCGATAGAAGGTATGCAAATAAATGTAAAGCTCTACCTGGATGGATTCAGAAGACATTAAAGACTAACGGTGAGTTTAGCATGACTATTGGAGATGTGGCGAGGTTTTTCGCAGCTAAGAGAAAGAATTCTAACTGATACGCCATTGCTGAATTGCCATTTGGTATTTTCTATAAAAAAGAAAAGCTGGAGGAAATTATGATAATTCGAGCTGGATTATAACAATGTGAAATAGAGGAAAAATTAAAAAAAAATAATAGTTATGTGTTCTTAAGAAGAGGAAGAAGAAGAATATTAATTTCATTGACATTTTGTCAAGTCGTTAGATGACTTGACAATTATTCTGATATATTATTTGAATACTGACCGTTTGATAATTTCGCTCTATGAATTTGAAGCTCAATTTCAAAATTGTCGGCTCATTACAGAGATCTTATTAATTTCCATTTATTTTCCATCTTGTATAATCTCTTCCATTTCTGAAGTTAGAGAGAATTCTCAAGCTGAACTCCGAATTTATAAACCAAATGGTGGTGATAAACCTGTCCTGGACGCACCATCGCACACGGAAAGTGCTTCTACAAAAAAATAGAGAATAATCACTAAGTCATTTTCTACCACTAAATTAATTCTTCAATAACAAATTATTATATCATCCTACTTACAATTGCAGAATTGTAATAGTTCTGTGGGTAAACACCAAATGCACAGAATTTCATGTATTTCGCACCATTTTTTCCAGGAATGAATTTCATTCGTGATTTGGTGAATAAAAAATTAGTATTTTCATATGAACCATCATCTTCACCCTTGAAGTATCCTTCTCCACTTTCCGAAAAGAAACTAGTGTAACTAGCAAGTTCATCGAACTTTTTGGCATCTAGTGTCTCATATGTGATATCCTCTGCATCATTTTCGGTGGGAAATCTTCCGCACATATCGAACTGTAGTCCAGGTTGGTTGGAGAAAACTTCTAAGACTCTAAATTGAGATTTTAATCATAAACACCTTTTTTTAATCACCTTAATTTTGTTGTTTTATCATTGCGTTTTTCATTTTCATCGTTTCATATTATGTAATAATTTTGAATCAGCCATTAATTTTTCGAATACCCGTTGCTCATTTTTCTCTAATTCTCTATCACTTTATTACCCATTTTTTTTCTCTCACCTCCCAGTTTTTTCATGATAGGCACGAGATACAAATGTCAATGCAGGTTCACAATCCCGGATGACACATAAGTTCTGTCCAAAATCGTCGTCAAATAGCATGCAATTCTTCTCATCGCCCAGAAGTCGTTGAATTCTGAAATCCAATAAAGTTCCTCCTATCCTGCGACTTTTATTAATTGGAATTCCATCTTCATGTTTTGTAAATATGCAGCGATCGCAATTGAGGGAGATACTGTGCATCTTCAATTCGTTTTCCCCAGCATTGTGTCCAGCCAAATTAAATAGTAAACCGTATGAGAGATTTATCAATGTTGGCCTGGTGGTTGTTGCATGCATTTTAATGTCTAAAGTATTTTCTGCCGTTAATTTGAATGTTAGAATTGTTAAAACAGTTCCTGGATAACCAGCTTCTCCATCTGGGCTTAAATATGTCAGTATCAAGTTATTTTCATTAATGTGAGAATCCCAATTTCGCCTTCCAAAGCCTCCAATCTGTCAAAAATTTAAAAATTAAAATGATAAACTTAACACTGAAATAGTAGAATCTAATAAAACACGTCAATTTTCTAAGTTTCATTGAAGATATTATTATTCCAATAATGAGTGATATAAAAACATGTCAAGATATTTTTTTGTTGGAAAAGGCCTCTCCCATTAGTCGTTTTTTTTTAGAGTATTATTTTTCAAATATCGAAACTCGTCAATGTTCCATTAATTCACTTATAAATACATGCTATTACCAAATTAGTTATAAATTTTCTTACCCCTCCATGAAGATGATCCTCTCCATCATTCAATGACAATTGGTACTCGCTTCCTTTGATCTTGAGAATTCCATCTTTTATTCTATTAGCACATCGCCCTAGTACACAACCAATGAACAAATTCATCTCAGGATTCAGATAATCCTCTAAATTATCAAATCCTAGAACAACGTCGGCCACTCGTCCATATTTATCCGGATACTTAATCGACACTATTGTTGCTCCCCAAGTGATAATAACTATCTCGACGTTGTTATTAATTAAAGTATAAGATTTGATAATCAGGGAATCACTGCCATCAGAATTTATAAAATCATTTCCATTTTCTGGGCAAAATCCCCTGTAAATTGCTTCGATAATTTTTCCACCGCTGCTATTGCAGTAAGACGTGGTCATTATTCATTCAAAATTGCTTTTATATCGTTTATAACAATTTATAATTAAAGCATGAACGTTGACAGGAATTTAGAGTGTCTTGAAAAAGAAGTAGAAAAATGACATATCAAATCAATAAAACAATTGCGGAATGGTATTATAGCCATAATTATTATTATTAAATTGCGCTTTATTCTTTCATCCAACGAATATTTGGTGAATATTTCCGGAACTGGTCTCTGGAAATATCATATTTAAAGTGTCGTTGATTATGTTATATAATTATATTTGGAGAAAGTGACTTCAGCAGAGAATGTGGCCAAAACCTTTTCTTAGCTGTTCAAGTTTCACGAAAAAAATGCCTTTCGATGTTGTAATCGAGATCATTTAAAATTTACCGGTTAAATAAGTAAAACCATCAAATGTTATCATTATCATAATTATTATTGAGACATCATCATGTGATGCCAAATAATATTACACTGCCATTAATACTCAAATGTTTTCTTTTATATATAATAATTACAATTTGTAGCACATGTATATGCGTGATTCCGTTAATTATTCGTACGGTTTTCTATCTTCAAAATTTGCATTCTATTGAGACTCCTCATATGGTCTTCTTCACATTCAAGACTTGATTTTTTTTTACATTTTTGAGTTATTGTCCAAGTCTTTTGTTTTGGAGTGTTCACTAGATATTTTTGGCGATTATTCATCTTCTTTTTTTTAACATTTCCCCCTAGCTCTGCATTTGTTTTATCGCGAAATAGTGCTCTCCAATCACCCGAAATCCGAGCGAAGAACGACCCAACAACCACACTCGTGCTCCAAAATTCATCGGTTATTTCCTTGCATAGAAAAAAATGTCCCAAATTTTACAGATCCATACAACGAAGTTATCGGAAAATAACCGATAATTTTGGAGTACCGGGCATTTTTCGTTTCTTCCATTAAGGATGATTTCAATTACATTACCCCATCGGAAAGTTGAGAACGCTCACCTTGATTATAAAAAATATTAAAAAATCCAAACATTACTCCGCTTCGTTCTATCAAAAAATAATTTTGATCTTTTTTTCCCTTTTTGAAATTTTTCATTATTATTTTTTTCTATCAAAGTTTTGTCAAATCGTAAATTCTTTTGTAAATGAAAACGTTTACAAGGCAAGGGTAAGTTAATGATAAATAGAAAAAAAAGAAGAACAATGAAGCAAAAAATTATTTTTGCATAGAACGAAAGGCAATTCCACATTGATTTCTGGATAGGGTGCCATGTGTTCGAAGAAAACAAGATTCAACATTAGATAATGCTTTTTGAAGAATACAAGTTTTATTCTGAGCCATCAAGCATTTGTTCTCCGATAAATGTGTAAAATAGTTCGATCGCAGGGCGATTTTGAACACTGATCAGTTCATCCTATCTCTTGTAAAAAAGCACATTGACAAAGTGGAAAAAGATGTCAATCGAGGTGGGAGAAGAGCACGCCAGGCGGGATGCCCAATTGTATTAGTGATTTTATGGTATTCCGGATGTTGTGGGCTCGTAATAAAAATGAAAAAAAAAAAAAAAAAAAGACCTATTATATGTTGGAAAAATCATCCAATAAACCTGGAAATAATTAACATTTTGACGGTACAAACCCACATCGATAATTAACGAAATCAGCCATATATGTTTTTCAACATAACGATACTTTATATATAGTAATGTACAATGTTTGAAAAAATACCTCAACCTTTAGTATAGGTCGGACTCCCGAAATTTCAAAAGATTTTCCCCGGGGAAAAATCATTAAAGTTAGCAAATCATCAATTTGTGAATATGTATTTCAAAAATGCCTCACTCATTAATATTTTTCTTCATTAAATTAAAAATTTTACATTCAACATCAGTATCAATCACACAAGTTTATAGAACTAATTTGCAATGCTTTCATACATAAATACAACTTTTTGTAAGGCGCATATCCAAGCAGTCGGAATGATTATTTTATTTCCTCCTCTCCTCATTAATTAAAAAATAGGGAACACATTGCACTCAGCGCTTTAGAATTCAACCTCTTAATCCTATTCATTTTTCGCAAAATCATTTCACTAATTGAGTGGTAAAATTTAAAAAGTCGAACCTTGAATCTTCGTTGATTAGTTGATTATTTAGGTAACACGAGGTTGTTTTAAGTGAAAATTTGTAGATCAGGAAATACTTTACAAAAAAGACTTTTGGAGATTCAATGCACAATTACTCATTATCGTGGCGACTCAATAATCAACTAATAAGAAGGATCACTTCAAGTCGAATTATTTTACGACTTCTCCACTAATTTATAAATTCTCTTGCATCATTTATAGGTGATTGTATTCAACAATTTGTGTCAAATGTGATCTGTATAAATTTTAGAGAAACGAAATTACACAAGACGATGGAAAAATCATCAACAATGTTGTTTGTTACTTTCCAAAACTTCAATAAATCATTATGATTCAAATTCAAATTTCTTTTTTTACAAATAGGTGCAATTCACTCTATTCACTCTAAAATTATGAATGAGTATCATAATACAGTTAGTCTCGATGGGTGAAAAATACATTCAATCCTCTCTTCATCGAATAACGACTAAAATTGACTATTCAAGTATAGATAAATTAAGCGCAAAAAAACAGTTTGACAGTTAAGACGGTAACTAATCGAATTTTGAAATCCGAAAGATTATACATAAGTACACGATAATTGATAAAAAATAAATAGAACTTAGACTAGCTCTTTTGTCGTTAAGTACGTCACATTGCACAACAATGTTATTAGCTGCTGACAGTTCAATTTATAAACCTACGAACTGAATCTGGGAAAATAAAAGAGAGAGATCAGTCTAATAATTTTATACAGATTATTGTGTAAATATACTGCATTGAATCAAGTAAAAAAATGTCAAGAGATATTCTGAAGATATTCATAAAATAATCTGCAAGTACGTCCTCAACTAATTCCTCTCCATTCGACGTTGTCTTCACTATTCAAATGATTTGCTCTTTTGAAAATAAAATAACGTATGAAGGGAAATAATGTATCATCTTATAAATCATTTCCTCAGATCTGGGAGTTGAATAAGTACATAGGCGATAGCTAGCACCGCAGAATATCATACTTGGACACCATAAAAATTTATATATCTCCTATTTGTTTCATTTAAAACGGGCAAAATGACGCACATATGCTTTGAGGGCCACATTGGAACGTTAAAATCTCTCAAATCGAATGCATTTATTTGATAATACGGAACGTGTATTTTATATACATCAAATGCACTAGAAAATACTGATAATTACTATACTTGGAGCGATTTTTTCGCGAAAAACTACACAATGCAACTTTTTTGATTACGTTAATGAGCTAATTTCAAAATGTAAATGGAATGTTTATGATGAATTTATGGTGAATCTAGAGAGTACTTTCTAATGGAATTTGAAATACCCATTTCTCTATTTCTAAAGTAATTTCTTAAAGAAGGCAGTGTTCATTCGAACCTTACAAATATTTGGAAGAGGACCCTTTTTTTGTTCTTCAAGTTTCGAGTCTATCAGTCGGTTATTGTGGATATCAATGAGAGAACGAATGTGAACACAATGTTTTTAATAAAAATTTCCATTGAAAGTATTTGTGAAATGTTGATTTTTCATAAAAATATCTACAGATGCCAATAGCTTGAATTTTTAAATGGAATAAACTCTCTTCACCTTTATCTAAAATAGCCGCTAAACTTCTGTGTTTGCATAAACAATTTGTATCCCTCTCCTGAAACTCTTGAAACAGAACACTAATGAGAGTGTATGTAATGTACGATGAAGTAGGAGAAAGGGGTTTAAATGAGCCAGTGCTATGACAAGAACTCCCTGTCAAGATCTGAGATACTGGGCTTGCGATTTCTAGACAAACGACGACTAGTTTGAAGGGGGGATGTGATTGTCTCTTGTCCAGGTATATGAGCAATATCGAGATGATCCCGTGGAATGTCTCGATCAAAAGTCACAGGAGAAAACCTCACCCTGCTGCTCGATATCTGGCTGTCCTTAGCAGAGACATAACTCGAGTCCTCAGATGTTAATGAGTCAGGGGGTGTATAATTGGTTGGTGTTCCTGAGCCAGAATTATTTTTACTTGTGCTTCTATTCGGTGAATAAGTGTAATTGGCCTTCTTCAAACTGGATCGCAATTTAGTGACCACTTCAAGATTACTCGGCCTCTCTCCAGTGCTTAAATTCATTTCATGGGAGCTTTGACGACTGAGGTAGGGATGAGGGGAGGAGCTATGTTCCTGGGTTGGGTATCCAAAATTGGTACAGGGAGCGTTCGACAGGCGTTGATAATAGTGGCTGGGGGAGTAAGGGGGGTATTCGGAATCATCTTCGAGGTGGAAAGTGGGGTTCACGTTGCTGGAGGTACTCGTGTTAGAGACGTTAGATGATGTCCGATGGTGGGTGTAGGCGGGGACTCGGGAGGCACCTCGGACGAGACTGTTCAAGCTGTTGGGATTGTCATAAGCGTGAGGAAACTCCGGGCATTCTATCATTCTATCACTGGAATAGAGAAATTACATGATTATACTATAGTTAAATTCGCTTTCAAAAAATTATTTACTCAATTTTGAATTTATATATGGAGAAACCGCGGGATTTTAGCTGAAAATACCAAGATACTTTTATAGAAAAATGAAAAATTGCCTGCACAAGAGCTCTTCAGCCATTTCCTCATGATATCCATACTGAACGAAATGTCTCTATAATTAAGAAGAAGAGCGATGTCGAATTATTCTCACTGAGACTTTTATTCATCAAATGATGATTTCCTCACTACTTTGCTCTTCAAATTGACTTACTGATATTCAGGAGCCAAAAAATACGCAGACTCTGATGGTTTATAATTCCAGTCAGGAGGCACAATGGTGTAAACTGGTGGACCATACTCCGGATAAGGAGGTACATTCCCCATGTAAATAGCTGGCACCCTCTCCATTCGATCTACTCGAGTAATCTCAGGTGAATAGACTTCATCGTTAACACTTGCACTTGAACTCTTTCTTCGTGGCCTTGGTGTTGGCACTTTCGACCCCGTTGTACTGTTACAGGCATAATGCTGAGGTGAGTCTGTGAATCTAAGAGGTTTTTCCACGTTTAGAGGGAGGCCTGGACCTATACCACCCATTGAACTCAAGAAAGGTCTGAAAAAAAAAATAAAAGGAAACCAAATTTCACTCACACGAAAAATTAAATTGTTAATTTGTGTGTAATAATTTTCTTGGAAAACACGCATTTGGATGTAATAAAAAGTTTAATACTAGGACCTATTTACCTCGCTGAATCGTGAAAAAGCTATTTCAAAATCGGGTTTAACACAACGTCTTATAAGAAAATCAACAATTCAGGATATTTTGGTTGCAAATAAAGATTGGACTAGTACATTACATGCCCGAGCCTTGCAAAACTGATCACCGTATCCCACGTACTTGCCATCTTCACCTTCCGAGCCGAAGGCCGAAGGCTCGAAAGGGGAAGATGGCAAGCACGTGGGGTAGGATGGTATGTTTTCCATGGCGAGGTGTGTATATTAATTTTCATCACGCTGTGACGAAAAGTGAACTTTTCGGCACGCTCCGCGTGCCTAAAAGTCCAATTTCCGCCACATTGTGATAAAAAATATTGTTCGTAACTCGTGAAAAAATGTTTTTTAGCTCGTGGGATTATATCACGAGCCTTCGGCTCGTGATATAAACTTTCCACTTGCCAAAAAAACACTTTTTTGCACTCGTTACGAAATATACTATTTCAGGTCCCGTGACACGAAAAAATTTTTTCTTTAAGGAAGAGGGGGGCAAAATAAAACTGCCAAAAAAACGACTGTTTGATGCAATTCAAGCAAAAAAAATTTTTTTTATTACATTTTTTTTGTCAACTTTTTTTTGTTCTTGGGAATACTTGGGAGAATAATAATTTTCCATTCAGTAGAATGAAAAATTATTGAGAAGTTTTGATGGGCGAAGATTTTCTCAATGGATTATTCGATTGAAATTCCATTCTACTGAATAGAAAATTATTATTCTCATCAGTACTGCCAAGAATAAAAAAAAGTTGATAAAAGAAAAATATTTAATAAAAAAAATTTTTTTTGCTTGAATTGCGTCATTTTTTTGACTGTTTCATTTCGCCCTGCTATCTCTCCTACTATTTTCTAATTTTAATCTTATGAATCACGAAAATCTGACGTTATAAGAAAATGCCTCTGTGTATATCTATACGTGTGTGCAGATTTGTGCTCTGCTTTTTATATCGACACCTTTATGACAGACGAGCGCAGCTACCTCGGGAACTCATAGAACTTATGCTTGTCTGTTATTAAAATGTCGATATCTATCAATTACATTGGTAGTAAGTTTTGGAATTGATTCCAAATTACTCTTCAATGTGTTGGAGTTAAATAGCACACGATGTGTCCATCACAAAAATGAGAAATGGCAATTACTATACAACATCTCATGGGTTAGTGTATACGTTGTGTCACAGCTATGACAGAGCCATAAGAACATAATTTTTGGCATGTGACCTAAGTAATCCGGATATGAAAATCTATGATAAAATGGCAATGTAATATTTTTTGAAAAAATTGATAAATAAATAAACAAAATTTTATGGACGAATATAACTCAATAATACTAACTAGTATCCAAAATTTCTGATTTTTATTGCAACTTTTACACGTATAATGGGACGTTAAAGTAACTCTCATGTAGAAAAATTAGAAAAACGCAAATATCTGGAACAGCAGGACGAGTATTTTTCGCAAAAAGTTGAACGTCTTGCAAACTACTCATCCGAATTTGCCCATCCAAAATGACATCTTGTAATACCGTGAAAGTTACAATTCTATCAAATTTCAACTTCCTCCGCTTCTTGAGAAATTCTTTAGAAAAATTCAATCTACCGATTATGAAAAATTCTAGTGCTGTTCAAGTAAAATTTCTGGGGATTTCTGCGAAAATTTCATATCTGTATGAGAAAAATTCACATGGTACCCAATAAAATTTCCAGTATCAGCCCTGGAATTTTTCTCTAGCTGACACTTTGCGCAGCTATCCGTGTATCTCAATTTTTTCAAGAGTTATTGTGCATGCATTGATTTTATCAGAAAAACTAAAAATGCCGATCACTGTCAAATTGTTGGTAGTTACATAGGGATGCTGTGATTTCATTCAATACATGTTATCAGGAGGAATATTTTGACGTTGGAAAAATTCAAATTTGACGAGTAATTCTCGAGACATAGAGAAAATAGTATATTTCCCACCAAGGGAGGGAAAATAAAGGAGTCGTGCCCACGTGCGGAAGCACGTGGGTAAGGGTCCTTTATTTTGCCTCCCGTGGTGAGAACGTTATTTTTCGTCACGATGTAGGCGGAAACGCAGATTTTCCTCCCGTCGTGGCGAAAAAATATTTCCGAGAAATTTCTGTATCTTAAAAACCTACTCGACCGGTTGAGTGTAAATTTGGCTCAGAGATATATCCAAATAATAACAATTATGGTACAAAATTTAAGATGTTTAGCTTATATTGTCCTCTTTTTTTGGGAAAATGTATTGAAAAAAAACAAAAATCCACACACACATTTGATAAAAATATTATATCTTGACAACTACTTCACTAATTTTTTTGTTTTTTTTTTACGTTAAAATATTCCGTTACGAATGAAGAGATTCAATAGAAAAACCTAGCGAATTCGTTAGAAAATTTTATTGGATTTTTGTTGAAGTTTCTATGAGTTTTTGGCCGATTCTATTGAAACGTTCAATAGAAAACATTTCATAGAAAAAGTCAATAGAATTGGATTTGTCTATATAACTTACTGGATTGAGATATTTTCTATAGAATTTCCTCGGCTCAAATTTTCAAAAAAATTTTCGTTTGATTTTCTTGATGAGAAGAAATTAAAAATAGAATGAAAAAAAATTGGAAAATTGGAACCGAGGAAATAATTGTATAAAAAATATCTGAATAGAATAAGTTGACTTTTTCTATTGAACATTTCAATAGAAATCCCATAGAAATTTCTAACGAATTCGCTAGGATTTTCTATTAAATTTTATCATGCGTGGTACGAGGATAGCTGAAGTCGTAATATCCCTATGTAGCTGAGGAATGTTTGATAGTAATTGATATTTTTCATTTTTAGTTAAAATCGATCTTGTGATTTTTCAGAGTGGAATTTATGAAATATCAAAAATTTAATAGAAAATTGGTGTGCTCGATATTTATCAAACGACTGGTGAGATTTCAATTAATTCTTGAAAAAAAAAAATCACCTTCTATCGAAATCAAGTTGACATAAAATTTTCGAAATACTGTCATTTTGTAACTTTTTCACCTCAGAATGTATGTACCTGTAATGACGTGCAGGTCCATGGTAAGTATTATGCGGATACCCACTGCTAGAACTGAATTCATAGCCATCCCCTAAATACGCCGAATTTCGATTGGACCCATTATCTATCCACCATTTGCCCGTTTCCTCTTCATCGCATATACTCCTGGGCTGCAATCGCGGATGAATCGGCGACACATTTGTCATCCTAACATCGAAGCCCGTTGCCACTCCTGCGAGCATTGCAGCAATGTTGTACAACAACAACTCAATAGCTCCTAATTTTGGTTTCTTAGCTTCTCCATTATACAGCGTTGGCATTGGCATGATATATGGCGTGGTCAGACCCGGTTTCAACGGATAATCCGTCTTTATCCACTCCGTGGATATATCCGCTGGTAACGTCGAATAATCTACAAAATTAATTCATAATTTTTTTTCCTCTTTACTCATCTTCGAGCGTCTTCTTCATTGATAAAACGCAAGCATTACTCATCCGGTTTTATTCATGAAGTAGATAATTTCATTAACTGTTATTGAGAGCGTCAATTTAAGCACTGGAAAATGGTTCAATTTTTCATTTTAATTTCAAAATGATCTATGGTTTTCTCCCATTGAATCCATTCACATGAAATAACGGTAATGTCTTCAAATCCTTTTCTCGCCTGAAAGGTGCATTAGCTCTCTTGGCTTATTTTTTCCAACACTTCACTATTGATTCATGCTGGATCCTCCTCCATTCAATCATTTTTGAGTAGAGATCACTAATATTTTTGTGGCCATCATGTTAAAACGAAGAAACGTGATGTTATTTACCAGTTATAGCTTCAAAATGGTTCTATCGACTAGAATATGAGAATTAACAGCAAAATCTTTCATAATGTATTGAATTTTTTTCATGTTTTCATTTTTGACCAATCAATTTTAATGAAAAAAATTTTCAAATTGAATGATCGCAATCAAGGGTACAAGTACAGTAGAATTGGGATAAAATTAGACTATTATGAGTTATAAACGAGTGATAAACTATACAAAATTACTTTTCGTAAGTTCTTTTTAGATGCGAATATCAGTGGTGAGGATATATCCAGTATACTGCCTCAATTACTGATTGGTCAGATCCAATATAACTTATGATAGGTTTTTCGAGCAATTTATCATGATTCATCACTGATTTAACCTAAACTAGTGCCATTCCACCAGGAGTTGGGCCAAATCTGCCGAATAACTTTGTTTCGTTTTCACCGCGATTTTCATCTAACTTGACTAAATTCTTCTCTTATAGGTTTAATGGTACTCAATGTTGCCTTAGATTTTTCCTCTTAATCTCATGAGGGTATCGCGAAAATGATTCAACATTTGGAGATTACTAGTAATCCGACGGTCCTTTACTACCATACAGAAACCATAAAAGTATTCTTGATCAAATGTCTCAAAATCAATGAAAATTGGAGCAAAACCATAGTTTATCACTAAACTTTATTGCTTACCTGATTTATTTACTTATTTATTTATTTTTTTACAAGTTCTGATCAAATCTTTTTCTTTATCCGTCAACTTCTCACCGGATGCTTTTTTTCAACATGCATTTGCTTTTTCATTTAATTGATTGCACCAACTACTTAATAAACATGCAAGAAAATAATTGACATTTATGTAATTTACCATCAAACTACTATATAAAGACAATTATTGTAATCAATAAATATTAATAATATCAGTAATGTCAGCAGCTGCAACTAAAAATTACCAACAAAACTCATATGTGATCTATTGTTATCATCAACAAAACTTATTAGGTTCATTTAATGACTGAATAGGAGTAAAAGACTATAATCACTACTGCCCATTTGAGTTAAACAACAACAAGACAAAAATTTGTTCTGTTAGAAATCTAAGAGGTAGCATGCAGGCTATTATTTACGCTCGACATTATCCATCCTTCATAAATATTAAATATGTAATTATATCAAAAAATTGGTCGAGCGTAATATATATTCCGTATTGAATTGGTAAAACGTAACTGAAAAGTCGAATATAACATCTCTGTTAATTATGACATTATCTCAGAAAATAATGATTTTAGACAAAAAAAACCTGCTTTAAGATTGACAGGTTTTCTCCTTAAAAAAGGTCGTTTGATATACGCCCTTGAAATCACTTATTCCCAAGATAATTTAATAATAACTTTAACGAGATAAAACAATTTATTACATTTCGCCATGCAAACACAGGATTGAAATGAACAAATTAACTAAAAACAAAAAAAATCAACGTGTCCAACTGAAAAGCTTTTATTTAAAAACAAACTATGTCTAAATACAGATGTGTGCATATTTGTCTTCTATGAACGTGTGCCATATCACTTTTTTCTAACTGTACGATGATTTTTCATTAAAAAAAATGTTTTATTGTTCTTACGCGTCAAGAAAATTCTATTCGATTACAAAATTTCAGATCACTTCGATGGAGAAGAAACAGACGATGAAATCATTTACTTAATTAACATTTAATAATTGACAGAATGGGCGAGAAAATAATTAAGGAATTGCTTTCAAAAGAATGATGGAACGAAGAAATTGTGTAGGAAGACAGTTACTGTTATTAGAGAATTATGAACCTCCAGGAAGGAAGATAAATTTGGACGGAAGGAGGAAAAAAAATTAAACCAACACCAACAAATTTTACTTTACAATCTTGCCATCTCCATTCTTTTCCTTTCTCCCATTCCAATTAGATTTTTACTTGTAATTAATTAATTATATTTCACTAATTTTGTTTTATTTTTCTTCCTTTGAATTACAAGTTATGAGACAACAAATGACGTCTTGCTGGTGACGGAAAAGAAATGTCATCCAATTTAAATCACACCGTCTCGATTTTTCATTAATATTATCAATTATTTAATTAGGATAGTCAGACGTTCAATAACTGAATTTTTGAATCTTCAATTATATTGAAAATTTTATTATTGGTTCCTTATCCAATTCCTCCAATTTTAACCGGATCGAACTATTGTAGCGGTCCTATTGTAACAGAACTTTATTCAACAAATGTCGGTCAATGAGTGATGAAAATAAAATGTACTCATACAACTAAATAGATAATCGATTGACAGTAAAAAATCATCCACAATAATTGTTGTTCACAGTTCCAAGTTTGTATAGAGCTCAACATAAATATAAACCAATCGAATACACAAATGGAGTTCTGATCAAAATGTAAAATCCTCAAAAATAAAAAAAAAGATGTAGAATATTTTTCTTTTAAGCATACAATAGTACGAAAAAAATGCATGCATTCCACTGAAACACGACGTACGATAGAGAGAGAGAGAGAGTAAATGAAGAAAATCTCGATGTGCATTCGTAGATCAAAGAGTACAAAAAAAAGAATACAAAGGTGTGTGTGTGTGTGAATAAAAGTGAAAATCAATGGGGATAAAAATTTTTCATTATAATAAAAGCGACTAAATATTCAACGTTAATTACTGACTTCAATTTATTATTCATTTATGATTAATTAAATAATGTGACAATATATCGAACTTACGCGCAGAATGGATATTTTCCTCGGAAAGGCCTGCGATTAAGAGATAATTTTCTCACAAATGGTATCAAAATGGCGAAACGCAGAAAGTCATAATAAATGAAAAAAATTTCAGGCAGATTATGTTGTAAGTACCTATTTCGAGAACTAGTGGATTGAGAAGAAAGTCGCGGATTTTTTCGTGTACTTTATAAAATTCTTTGCAAAAAAATCTGTTGACATTTTCTCTAAAACTTGATTATCATCGAAATTGACCCATAATGACTTTAAATTGAATTAATTATGCAAATATTTCAAATTGGGATGATTTCAGGCAGAAAATTTCCAAAGAACTTTTTCATAGATGATTATATTTCGCGTGGAAAAATCTCCTTGCCAAGTGCCTCCAAACCTCTTCCTGAATGCGCTGCCTCTCAAATATTTCACATTCCATTCGTTATTCCCCTCTTCGTGAATTCCTCACTGTATGTCCGATAAATTTTTTTCTCAATAAGTTCAAAATAATTAATTGTTTTTGGCAGGTGATTTTTTAACGTTTCCCTCATCTCCCTTCCCACCAGTCCCTTCGGAATTACATCTTACTAAACTAGCTATTCGCAACGGGTCAGCTAATCTTCCACTGAAGTTGTCCTCCTGATCGTTCTTCATAGAATCCCCAAGACACTCAGTGCTCTTGGCCCGCTTCACCTCACCAACAGAAAACTTGTCCCTTCTTCTTTTAAAATCTTCCGATGTATAACTTGATTCATTATTCATAATATTATCAATAAATTTCATAGATTTTTCCCCTTTATGATAGAACTGAGTCTCAAGATTCTCAAAATCAATGCCCTCCCTTGAATTGACAGCCAAAAAGCTGGGAACACTGTCGACAGTGTCGGAGAGATCAGGAATATTAATCGAGTTTTCTAGAACACTGTACTCAACCTTAACGGGTTGCTTTCCGTCGAGAGCATCACTACTCCACGCCCTAATTTTATTCAAGACCCTCAATGGTGACTTTCCACTTCTAGATTTATGCCTAACAGGTTTGACAATAGAGTTCTCAGGACTAGACTCAGGACCATCATTATCATTAATTCTAACAGTAATTGAATTCTTCACTTCCTTTTCTGAAGAAGCTAAAGAGCTTTTTCTGGAGCCTGAAGGTGATCGAAAAAAGTCAGCTAAGGAGTTTAATCTCGATTCTGAGCTATCACGTCGTTTCATCTCTTTAGATTTACTTCTTTCTCTTCTTTTATTCTTAACTCTTTTTGCTGTTCCCACGAGGCTCGAAGCTACACTATGCATGAAATGACTCTCAATTTGTGAAGTTATGGAATTGATTGAAGAGTTATTGGTCCTAGTGTTCTTAATAATAACGAACGATGCACAATTGGTCGTAACGATTTTCGATCTATCTGACTTGGCACTCATTGACTCATTTAATTCAGTTAAAAATCTCATATCTCTACCGTCCTCATCAATATTATTATTATGATCATCATCGTTATCATCGTCATCATCATCATCATCACGTTGATTATCATGATCGTCGATAAGATTATTTGCCGATGAGTACAATTTTCTGCTAGATGGGTTACCTATTTCTTGCAGCAGCGGGGAACGTTGTGCATTTGCCAGTAATGCCGTTCGTAATGGTGTCTTTTCAAGATCTGGCGCTGAACGTGACCATCTTTTACCACCGGGGGATGCTGGATTCGGTGGTTGGGTGATTATTGCACCGCGCTCACGTTGATGGAGTGTTGACGGACCCCAGGTTTTACCCTTAACGCCGTCTGCCGGTACTAAATCCAAGGCAGAAATAAAAAACAAAAGAAAACAAAAAGAAAATATAGAAAAGTAGAAGAAATAACATTAAGAAAGAGCATGTTGATGAAGGAAAATTCATTCAAATCATAAAAAGAGAAAGAGTTCAGAAGTTTGACTAACTACTAATAATAATCCATACTAACTACTTTTCTAATTCATCTTTGGGTACGTCGACAAAGTATTTCTGAATAATAGGCACGCAAACGACAAGGCTGACAACAATTTTTTCAAATTAAATTATCTACGGGTTTAGTCTCTAGAATATTAATACTTTGGGAATTTTTTATGACAGGAGATGATATGGACTGATTCACAGCGGCTGAGTGGGTTTGTTTGACTTGTCGGGTGCCAGATTACTGTGTCACATTGGTAAAGGCAGAACGAATTGATTTTTTTTATCAATAATATTTTTGGATTTTAGTCTGGCTGTGGTGGCTTACAAGCAATTGCACGTAATCGAGGTATGCAGGGTGAGCCTGGTGGACTGTTGGGGCGAGAAGGGTTTCGATTCTTGCGGTCCAGGGCGGTGTGTTGAACTGTTATCGTGTGACGGAAGTCTGGTGGAGAGAAATTCAATTTTATTAGTTTTCGTGAAGTCTCAAATCGAAGATGGAGTTTGGTTTTGCTCTGGCTTTTGTTAAATGTGGTAAATATCAAGAGATAATAACGAACGATGCACAATTGGTCGTAACGATTTTCGATCTATCTGACTTGGCACTCATTGACTCATTTAATTCAGTTAAAAATCTCAAATCTCTACCGTCCTCATCAATATTATTATTATCATCATCGTATATATTTTTGGAAAAATGTTTTCCGCTTTTTTCACTTTTTCAGGTAAAACGCATTCAGTCGATTTTTTTTTTGAGAATCAGATTTCCATTAAAATAGTTCTTCACCACTCGTGAGAAAAATTGTATTTTTCATGTATAAAATGACAGAATGACAGAATGCAATTTTAATTTTCCGTTCAGAATTTCTATCCATTTTCTGCTTTATGGGAACGGTCTTCTGACATTTAGTTTCTTAAATTATTTATTGTTAAGATAAAGAGACCTTAAGAATGAGAACCCTACGTCGCTGATGTATCTACAAGTTCTCCTTGACAAATCGATTCTTCGTATGAAATGGAATGAACGTTCTTAGTTAAAAAGCATATTTTTGCATATTCATTTGTACTTATTTATGATTAAAATCAATACGATCAAACTGTAATAGTTGTTCGGCCGGACATTTCCCATATTTTGGTGCTAGCTATATAGACATATGCTGCCACGACGTAACGTTCTCTGAACGCGCTCGATAAAAACATTAATATTCAATAAATGATTACCCCAAATTGACGATGAAATTCTGATGTCTGAAATACTATTTATTGAATTACCATAGTTTATTTATTATTTCGGGGAGAGTGAAGCAAAATGAAACAGTCGCAAAATGACTGTTTGACGCAATTCAAGCAAATTCTATTTTTCAATTTTTTTTTTACTGACTTTTGTTTTTTTTTTTTCTTGAGAGTACTTATGAGAATAATAATTCTCCGTTCAGTAGAATGAAAACTTATTGAGCATTTTTGACGGGAAAAGATTTTCTCAATGGATTAATTGAAAATAAAATGAAACAGCAAAATTCAATGTCCAGAGGTAGGCCCAGGGAGAGCCCCAAAGGGAGAAAAAGGAAAAGTGATGCTGAATTTCAATCGAATGAGGAAAGAAAAGTGTAATTGGCTTAACCAAAGAGGATAGACCTGAGTAGAGGCCCGGATCGGGGGGTTTGACTGACTCCAAAAAAGTTAGTTGGTACCCCACGGGAAAGGCGGCGTCCCGGTCGAATTGTCGGTAAATGTGAGTCGGGTGCGTGAGTAACTCGGCAGTAGCAGTCACGCTGTGACAGGGACAGGTTCGGAGGGGGATTGTTGTCCTCCTTGTACCTAATGTTTACTTTATGTTTTTCAGTTGATTTATTCGCCGACTAATTAATATTAAGGGATGAAACAAAGACTGTTCAATGGAGAATTAAATTCGCCGTCCATCAACCCCCGTTTCATCCCTTAATCTCTGCAATAAAAAAAATAATATTGCGACGAAAGTCACGGCGCTATAAGAAACCCAATGTTTTCTCGGCACAGAGTGACTCCCCAATAATTCGCTCGCTAGTTAAAAAATCGTCTCTCCCCTCCTAATTAACAATAAGGAATGAAACCAATGCTGTTCGATGGAGAATTAAATTCCCCATCCTTCAACCCCCGTTTCATTCCTTAATCTCTGTAATAAGAAAATTAATATTGCGACGAAAGTCACGGCGCTATAAGAAACCCAATGTTTTCTCGGCACAGAGTGACTCCCCAATAATTCGCTCGCTAGTTAAAAAATCGTCTCTCCCCTCCTAATTAACAATAAGGAATGAAACCAATGCTGTTCGATGGAGAATTCAATTTCCCATCCTTCAACTTCCCTTTCATTTCTTAATCTCTGTAATAAAAAAATAAAAACTGCGACGAAAGTCGCGGCGCTATGAAAAACTCAATGGTTTCTCGGCGCAGTGACTCCCGACAACTCGCCCGCTAATTCAAAAATCGTATCTTTTCTTCTAATTAATATTAAGGGATGAAACCAATGCTGTTCGATGAAGAATTAAATTCCTCATCCTTCAACCCCCGTTTCATTCCTTCATCTCTGTAATAAAAAAATAAAAACTGCGACGAAAGTCGCGGCGCTATGAAAAAC